ATATATATATATATATATATATATATTGTTTTTGTATTATTTTTTTCCTTAGAGTTCAAAGTAATCGAACTCTTTAATAGTCGATGAAAGTTACTTATCCTATTTGTTTTCTAATGCTCTCAGTTAACAAGCAGCATGGGAACATCGACGGATATTGATCGATATTTCTTTCCGTTAACAATCCAACAATTGCAAGAAGAGTATGACAAACAACAACCAGAAATGAATGGAAAGGTGCGATTTGATATAATATTACTTATATACTTTATTAAATAATTTTAATTTATAAATAACATTTTTTACAGATTGACTGGCATTCAGCCATTCAAGAAGTGTTTGCTTCAGAAGGAATCACGATTGAACCGGATGAAAAGCTCATGGTTCCAGCATACAAATATCTCACCAATTTAGTACCGTTATTGGAACGAACACCATCACGTACTATTGGTAGGATATTCAAAACATTAAATATCTTACAAGAATATTATCGCGCTTATTAAAAGAAAAATATATTGCCAGCACAATAATGCAATTGCATTTGCAGTTAATTTTATGCAATGGACCATACTCAAACAGCTAATTGATTACACCAAACAACCCGAAGCAAACAGTTTCGCAGGCGTAATATTGCATGCGGACGCAGTCGATAACCAAATGGAAGAAGATGATACAAGGTGGATAAGTTGCATGAGGACGCACAACTTAAAATCTGCTATTTCACATGAATATATCAAGAAATACATATCGCTCGAAAACATAGAGGACGTAAGTTTACTATAATTAAAATAGATACAAGTAATACACGTAAAATAAATTTTACTCGTCCTCGAAAATAAAATTATTCCAGATCAGAGAAATAACTACAGACGTTCAAAGCTCTGTTCGTCAACAAATACAAAAAGTCACATGGATGGATGAACCTACAAAAGTAGCGTCACTCGAGAAATTCGCGCATATGAACTTCGGGTTTTTTAAGCCCGATTGGTACAGCGACGAAGCTATTGCCAGATATTACGAAAACGTAAGTACATTATCTAGAACCACAGTTCCAAACCATAGAACTTGTTTAGTATTTTTTCTTCTTTTTTTGACAAAGGAAGAAAAGTAAGATGAGAAATACAAATACAAATATTTGACACTTTTGTATTTTTGTAACTATTTTTTTGTTTATGTTTTGTGACAATTCTTTCTAAAGAAGCATTTTCTGNTATGCATTTTAGCTGAACGTCAGTATGGGATATCTCGACAATATCATAAATATTATTAAATTCGAGAGGAAGGCACTACTGAACTTGCTCAGAACACCCGTAACCAAAGACTTGTATGAACTGTTTTCAATTCATGTTCTCAATAGTACAAATGCTATATATATATATATATATATGTATAAAATAATTGATGTATATAACTTAAGAATTTCCTAATAACTGTATTTTTGTTTACTAGATGGTTTATGGAACCGTCAGTACCGTTTGCATACTACACTCCTTTTCTCAATAAAATCGGTAAACATTCTTTATATAATAATTGATCATGAAACAATTTTACTAATTTGTACTTTTCTTATTACAATATTGTGGTATCTTTTTTCTGTAGTTGTAACTGCTGCCTTATTACAAAGTCCTGTGTATGACAGAAATCGTGTTGCGTGAGTATTATTGTTTGTACCACTTTTTGAAAAAACGTTTCCGAAAAGAAAATGTAAAACAAACTTCATTTACTTTATACTAGGTTGATGAATTATGGATCGCTAGGAGTTGTTATTGGACATGAAATTAATCACGCCTACACTTCGATAAGTAAGTACTGTTCTATTTTTATGTCAGTGTGAAAATTTATATTGCAACTTATTGAATACAGATAGTAAATTTGACAAAGATGGCAACATTGGGCAATGGTGGACACAAAACACTATCAATAATTACAACAATATAACGCAATGTTTCGTTGACCAATACAACGAGTATCTAGTTCCGGGATTAGAGAATATTCGAGTAAGTAAATTGAAACAAATGTATAAAAATGTAGACTAAAGTTTACTTTATTTTCAAGATATCTAGTGGAATCTNGTTTCTTGTAATTAATTAATGTATAAGTGTTCCGTGTTTTTTAAGCTATATAAAAGTTGTAATCTAATTTTTTCAGGTAAACGGACAACAGTCGGTTAATGAAAACTTTGCCGATTCTGCTGGAATTGTAGCTGCATATTATGCGTACAAGAACAGAAAAGCAAGACTGAATGAAACAGATTGGCGACTGCAAGGATTGGAAGAGTACAGTGAAGATCAGATTTTTTTCTTGACTCATGCTCAAGTAAGTATCTGATAAAATACGTACCTTGAGATGTATGGAAACTACAGTCATTAAACAGTCGGCGAAACTACGTAGACAAGAAATAGAAGATATTAACATCATCTTTTCTTTCAGTTCTTCTGTGAAATTGCTCTGCCGGAACGGATAGAACAAGATAGTATTTTTGATCCTGTCCATCCTGCGAAAGAAATTCGGGTTCGCGGCAGTTTTTCGAACTTTCGTGAGTTCTCTGAGATTTACAATTGTTCCCTGGGAAATCGAATGAATCCGGAGAAGAAGTGCGTAGTTTGGTACTAAACCGACGAACAACGAAGACACGTGGAANTAATGGAACTACAAAATTATGATTGCGGGTTTTTCTTTCCTTCAGCAAACAAGTCATTTGTAATAATCAAAAACATATTACATATGTAATACATTAGTGCTTGTTAAATATTAAATACATTTGGGATAAAATAGTTTTGAGTTTATTTCGCACGAATAAAANGTTCCACAAAATCAGCGTCCTTTCTGACCACACGAAATCATCGCAAAAGTTTTAACGGAATTTGTTAACAAATTATGTTATGAAGTCGTGTTAAATCGTAAGTCAAATATTCTATTACGGAGCAAACTAAAATTGACGTAATTTAAAATTTTTAATTGCAAACAATTAAAATGCTTCGACAGAAACAGCAAGAGGAAAGAAGTTTTGATTTGCATGTATTCGGAAGATTAATACGTATTTAAAGCTGGACATAAAAATGCTTTCTTACGTATACTTCTAAAAGATAATTGGTAAAACATAATATAAAAGTATGTAAATTTTTGAAAAGTGCTTTAAGAATAAAAATTGATATCTTGTTGAGAGGAGTCTTTTAATTTAAGCTATTGTCACAGAGCACTGTATTTCACTAAGTCCTATTTGTAAGATAAACGACAAGAGAATGATAAAAACTACGAATGTAACTTAGGAAATACTTTCATACCTATTAGAGGATAACTACAAGCAAAACACGTGATTCCTATGAATATCACGTAAAGATAAGCGAACAAGCGCATGCGGATAATTTCAAATATCAAATATGATTAGTTAACTTTCACCCGCAAAACGCTACGATACACTGTAGATTTTTTTTTATTTGACTCCGTATACAGTTCGAACATTTCTGATTATATAAGAAAAATGTAACACGAACGTTTTTTTTTCTGCAAAGACAATTCATTAGTAACTAATTGTTATGCTGAATGTAACTAACAAGTGACAATGTGCGCAAGCTTGTAATTTTTTATGTAGTACTGAAACAATGATTGTAGCGCACTAAAAATACTTCAAATTTAACATCGCAAGAAAAAAATAGAATATGATTTTTTTGTTCTGTGTACATCGTTTTTCACACATAATTATTTACAAGTAATGTAAGTGAATACTTGTGTATCGCACTTTACATCCCACTACTAGTAAGTACAGAGAAAAGCTAAGAATTATTTGAATGTGACTCATTGTATAATTTTATGTCGTTAACATGGCAAACACGAGCATGCCACGTGTTTTGATACAAACACATAGAAACGTTCTTCCGTTGCTCTAAACTTTTAACAGAATTAGTCAGTTCCAAGCAACCGCTCCGATCGTACGTAGGTACTGTGCTAACGATTTAACTTAGTTGAGACATTAAAACTGTTTAAGAGTTTACATATAACGTGTGTTTTA